CTAATTGACAGATCCCCAAGAAATGCGGCAGCGGTGAACAAGAGGCCCTCCTGGCGGAGGGTGATGTTGAGTTGCGGGGGCAGCGCGCCAGCAGACGCGCCCCTCACTTCACAGTGTTTGATGAGTCGCACAACCACGCTCCTGAACAAAGGTAAGCAGCCGGTGCCGAGGTTCAGGCGGGGAGCCAGGCGTAGCGCCTCGCGCGGCCGCGATCACTGCAGCGCGTACCCCGCGCGCTCCAGCGGCGAGAGCAGCAGCCGCCGCGTCTTCCAGCCCGCCGCGGCCGTGTCTGCGAAGAAGCGCCGCCCGTGGCGCCGCGCGAGGCGCCGGCTCTCCTCCACGCAGCGCTCCATTTCCTCTTCAGACAGCAGCCCCGCGTCGTGCGTCCCCGCCCGCTGCGAGCCCGCGCCCGCATCGCCGCCGCTGTTATCGCCGCCGCCGCCGCTGCCGCTGCCGTCGCCGCCGCAGTGGGCGCGCCGCCGGTCGAGGGCGTCCGCGACGCAGCGCCGCAGGTAGGCGGCGTGCAGGATGGCGGTGCCCACGTCCTGCGGCGTGGCGCGCTCCGCCAGAGCCACGCGGACATGCGGCGCGGTACAGTACCTGCGCGGGCCAGTGGGGCATCGCCCCGCAGGGGCGGATTAACAACCAATATACAAATGGCACGGCTTTGCATGCTGCGGGTGGCTTGCCAGTACAGCAGCAGTTGTACTCCGCCTTGGCAGCTGGGCAGGCACGTGGCACCGCCACTCACGCCGAGCTACGGAACGCTGGATGCGCGCGCGTTGCCGTGCACGCTCATCCGCGCGCCCACCTGCCCCACAGCCAGTCCGCCGCGGCCAGCGGCGCCGGCAGCCGCTCCGGCCGCTTCACGGCCAGCATGTACGCGTCGCCCCTGTGGCGCCGCATCAGCCGCTGCAGCTCGCAGGGCCCCGCCGCGACGCGCTCGAGGGGCAGGATGCGGAGGGGCAGCAGGTTGCCACGGACGCGGGGCGGCAGGAAGAGACGCTCCCGGGCGCTGACGTCAGCGAAAGTGGGGACCTGCGGAGACCGCGGGCCGCGGCGCCGCGGCAGGGCAGCGCGTGCGAATGAGACGATTTTGCCACGTGCTCATGTGCAGTAAACTTCAGGAGACCAGCTTGGAACGGCGGCACACGGAGGCGGAGACAAGGTTCTGTGCATGCCGCAGTGGTCGCGGCCGGCGGTCTGGGACAGGGTGGCTGCAGGGCCCCCGATGCCTCTGGGGTGTGGCGGGCCCTGCGGTCGTGCACAGACCCCGGCCGCTCCGCGCGCACCTGGCCCCGCTCCACCCAGCCCTCAGCCACCAGCTCCGCGCGCTCCCGGTTGAGCGTCCGCAGCTGCACGCGGCACCGTGAGGGCGGCGCAGCCGTCTCGTTTGATGGGCGGCGATGGCGCTCAACGGCGCACGCGCTCGCCGACCGCGGGGTGCAACCGCACTGGGGCGCAAGGTGCTGCGCGCCCGACACAGCGCGCCCGCGTCAGCCAACGTGCAAGGCGGAAGGCGGACGGCAGCTAGCCGGCCCGTCCGTTTGCAGGCAGACTGTTGTGAGGAAAGCCAGTGACAGCTGGCGGCGTCACCTGGACTGCCTTGAGCTCGTGGTAGATGAAGGTGATGTCAGCGAGTGAGAACAGGGGGAACGCCAGCAGCGGCAGCAGGCGCCGGCGCGCTGCGAGGTGATCCGGGGTTAAAGCCAGCGCATGCTAGTAAGATGCAGCGCAGCTGCATGCGTGTTGCTGGCCCGAAGTTTGCGTGCGTATGCGTTGCAAGGTGGTTCAAGGGGCGAGCGCCTACAAAGTGCGCCTTTTGCAGGCTGCTGGGGAGGCGTGCGTGGTCAGCCAATCCACACCAATGAGTCGCTCACCCTCGTGGTGCCTCAGCAGGTAGTTGGCGCCTGTGTGGCAGCAGCAGGGGGAGAAAATGACGTGCGGCACATGGACGGTCAGCAAACAAAGCCAGCAGCAGCCCTCAGGATGTGGGGTGGGGCGGCGCATCAGCGCATGGTCACGTCAACTCGCGGGGGGCACCGCTTGGTGGGGCGCCTGATGGCAGGGTGTGTTCCCGCCCGCCTCACCTGAGCAGACTGCCAGAGCCAGAGTGTCCATCACCATGTGCTGGGCCTGCCAGGAGGGGAGGGGGGAGGGGGCCGCACAGCACATGCGTAAGAGAGTGTGAGCGGGGCTCGTACGGGACACCGGCTGGGCATGCACGCAGACGTGCTTGTGCATGTGTACGTAGTTGCGTGCGTGCGTGCGTACGTGCGTGCGTGCGTGCACGCATGCCTCTTTTTGTGTGCGCGCTCAGGGCGGGTGTAATCCGACTAACGCGGTGTGTCCTGCGATTGCGAGACGCAGGCTCGTCGCTTGACAGTGACCGCCCCAGCCACGGCGTGCCAGTGCAGGACGCGGGGCAGCAGCTGCAGCTGAGGCCCGCCGGCCCCGGCCGCACACACCCCTCGCCGCCGCGGCCCACCTGCGTCTTCGAGGCAAGGTCTGCCATTTTCCCGCTGGCGCACAGCGCCTGCTGGAACGCAGGCTGGGTGCTCACAAACGTCGTCAGCCCCACCTGCCAGAGGGCCAGGGGCGAGGAGGGCGTGTTGGTGAGGGGAACGCGGCGGACGAGGCGCCACACGCGCAGGTGAGGCCTGCTGTGGCTTGGCAGCAGCCAGAGGCGCCGCGGCGCCCAGCGGCAGGGGTGATCTGGGGATGTCCAGCGCCGTCCTCGCGGCTCCCACTGCGCTCCAGCACCCTCCAGCCCTCTACACTCAACCATACGTGTCCCGGCATGCCCACGGCCGTGCTCGCCAGGCCCCGAACCTCAGCGCCCCACGCAACACTTTCCACCCACCCACCAACCACTCACCCACCCAC